TTGAAGATATCAACAGGTAATACAACAACCATTGTTAATTTCCTACAACTTTGTAACTCTGTTTTGTTTGTATTATTCTTATGCTATTTTGTAAATGGATGTCTGTTTGTTAATATGTTTTCCTTCTTTTATTTCTTAAAATAAAAAAAAATCAACAAAAAATATCAACATTAAAAAAACCCTGTGAACAAATGGACTTAGTTGATGTTTACATAGTGTTCCACCTCACAGCGTCAGAACACACATTCATCTCAGCTGCACATGTGAGGTTCTCCAAAATGGACAGCATATTAGCCCATATACCATGCTTAAATAAATGCAGAGGAATTGAAATTATCTCATACATATTATCTGACCATAGTGCAATGAAATTGGAAATCAATGAGAAAAGAAACTACAAAAACTACATGAACACATGGAAATTAAACAACATCCTCTTGAACAACCAATGGGTTACAGAGGAAATTAAAGAAGAAATTAAACAGTATCTACAATTAAATGAAATTGCTGCCAAAACATACAGGAGCTTATGCGAAACTGTGAAAGCAGTCCTATGAGGGAAATTTATAGCAGTGAATTCTCACATCAGGAAAACAGAACGAGTTCAACTAAGAAACTTAGTGTTGAACCTCAAACTCATAGAAAAGGATGAACTAATCAAACCCAAAGATCATATTAGAGAAGAAATTATAGAGATCAGAGCCAAAATTAATGCAATTGAGACTAAGAAAACAAAATAAAAATCAATGAATCAAACAGTTAGTTCTTTGAAAGATTAAATAAAACTAATAAACCCTTATTCAACTTCATCAAAAAGAGAAAAGACTCAAATTTAAGCAATTAAGAATGAAAAGGGTAAAATCACAACAGATCCTGTGGAAATCCATAAGATCACCAATAGCTACTTCAAGAACCTGTGTTCTAATAAGATGGAAAATATAGAGGAAATGGACAGATTCCTAGACAAATATGAATTACCAGAATTACATCAAGAAGATATAAAAATTCTAAATAACCTGATTTCAGTCAGTGAAATTGAAAATGTAATTAAAAAGCTACCAACAAAGAAAAGCACATGCCCTTATGAATTCACTGTTGAATTTTACAAGAAAGTTATAGAAAATCTAATGTCATTAATGCTGAAACTTTTTAATGAAATTGAAAGGGAAGCAATACTTCCAAAATCATTCCTAGAAATAAGTATTACTCTGATACCTAAATCAGAGAAGGACCCAACCATAAAAAACTATAGGACAGTATCACTGATGAACACAGTTGCAAAACTCCTTAATAATATACTGGCAAACAGAATGTAGCAAATTATCAAGAAGATTATGCACCATGACTAAGTAGGTTTCATCCCAGGGGTGCAGAGATGGTTCAACATACACAAATCAATAAATGCAAAACACCATAGTAACAAAGGCAAAGACAAAAATCACATGATCATTCCAATAGACTCAGGAAAAGGACTGACAAACTCCAACACCCATTCATGATTAAAAACACTACAGAAAACTGGAATAGATGGTCTTAACCCCAATCCGACAATAGCCAACTATGACAAACCAACAGCCAGCCTCATGTAAAATGGTCAAAAAAAAAAAAAGAAACTTTCACTCTAAAATCAGGAACAAGGCAAGGATGTTCATTATCACCAAACCTTTTCAACATAGTTCTAGAAGCATTAGCCAGAGTGATCATTAAGGACGAAGAAACAGAAGGAATAAGGATAAAAAAGGAAGAAGTTAAAACTATCATTATTGGCAGATGACATGACACTCTACATAGAAGATCCCAAAAATTCTACTAAAAGACATATATATTTAATAACCAAATTCAGTAGTGTAGCTGGATACAAAATCAACACTCAAAAAGTCAGTAGCATTCCTGTACACAGACAACAGACTCATTGAGAGAGATATTAATGAAACCACAACCTTCGCAATAGTATAAAAAAGTAGCACTTAGGAATCAATCTAATAAGGGAAGGAAATGATCCATACATTGAAAATTACAATACCCTGGAAAAGGAATTCAAAGAGGATATCAGAAAATGGATAGATATTCCTTGCTCATGGATAAGAAGAACCAACATAGTGAAAATGGCCATACTCTCAAGATTGTTATACAGATTTAATGCAATCCCAATCAAAAACAACATTAGCATATCTCACAGAACTAGAGAAAAGATTCCTAAAGTTCATTTGGAACCAGAAGAGACCTAGAATAGCCAGTTCTCAGGAACAGAGGCAAGGTAAGGGCATTAAAATTCCTGACTTGATACTGGCAAAGACAAAACAAAACAAAGCAAAACAAAACAAAAACAAAACAAAACACCACACCTGACAATTAATGAAACAGATTTGAAGATGCAGAACCAACTGCAAAAATATTCAGCCACCTTATCTTTGACAAAGGGGCCAAAATGTTCACTGGAAGAAATATAACCTCTTTAATAAATGGTGCTGGAACAACTGGCTTTCCACATGCCAAAGACTAAAAGTAGACCCATGTCTCTCACCATGCACTAAACTAAAATTAGAATGGATCAAGGACCTAAATAATAAAACAGATACACTAAATCTGCTGAGAGAACAGGTATAACTCTTGAAAACACAGATGTAGGTAAATATTTCATGAGCAAAACCCCAGTTGCACAGGAAAAAAATACAAAGAATCAATAACTAGGATCTCATCCTATTAAAAAGCTTTTGCACAGCAAAAGAAATCACCAACAGAGTGAAAAGACAACCCACAGAGTGGGAAAAACTTTAGCCAGTTGTCCTTTAGACAAAAGACTCATATCTGGAACGTAAAAGAACTGGAAAAAATCAGAAGTCCCAAATTTAAAGACCCAATCCAAAAATGGGCGTCTGAGATTAATACACACTTTGCAGATGAAGAAATAGAAATGGCAAATAAATATATGAAATAATGTTTAACATCATTGGTTACTAGAGAGATGCAAATTAAAACAATGTTGAGATTCCATCTCACCCCAGAAAGAACGGCTATCATCAAGATATCAACCACTAACAAATGCTGGAAGGTCTATGGGGCAAAAGGAATCATTCCCATTGTTGGTGGGAGTATAGACTGGTGCAACCACTGTGTATGAAGATTCCTTAAAAAACTAGGATTAGAGGTCCCGTTTGACCCCGGTATTCCCCTTGTGGGTATCTTCCCAGAAGAATTAAAAATATACCACAGTGATATATGCACACTCATTTTTATAGTAGCACAGTTTTTAATAGATAAATCTTGGAAGTAGTCCAAATGCTCATCAACCAAGGAATGGAGAAAGAAGATGTATTTTTTTAAAATATAATGAAATACTACTCTGGCATAAAGGATAAATTTGAGGCATTTCTATGTAAATGGGTGCAACTTAAGTGAAATAATTTAGATTCACAAGTGTAAACATCACATTGTCTCCCTAGTGTCCGAATTGAAAGAGTAAATAATGACCAAAATGTACAATAGATATTGTGAGATGGATATAAATTGTTCAAAAGGAAAGAGGAAATAGGGTGGGGGAAGGAGGAAAGGAGGAAAGGGAAAAGGAAAAAAAAGATTTAGAAAGAAGATAAAATGGAAACAAAGGTTTGTAAATAGGGAGGGGAAGATGGGTTGAAGGGAGGAGATGGGATTGGGAAAAAAAAGAGGAATAAAAATATATCATATATGGGTACCAATGCCCTATGATGAATATAATCATTATGTATATTTAAAACGTACCCATATACTTAATAAAAAAAGAAAGTAAAATTTATTGAACATAGGCATTTGATGTGTCCAACAAAAAATGAAAGGGTAAAGAAAATATGGTATTTACACACAATGAAGTATTATACTGTCATAAATAAGGATAAACTTGAGTCATCTGTAAGAAAATGGATGTGCCTTGAGATCATAATGTTGAGTACAATATATCAGACACACAAGCTTAAATATTGCATGGTTTCTCTTATATAAGAAACCCACAATATCAATAAAGAACAAAACAAAAGAAATATAATAGGAAATGGGGAGATAGAAAATAAGAAAGGAGGAAAAGGGAAGGGGATCAAGAGATGGAGGGAAGAGGGAGAAGGGGAGAGAAGAGGGTGAGAAAAGAATTACAGTGTATCGTGTACATGTACCAACTCCCTACAAGGAATATAATCATTATGTACAGCAAACATGTACTAATAGAAATGGAAAAATGTTTATCTTAATATTATTAAGATAGTGCCATATCAGAAACATATAGGTTTATGCTATGGTTGAAGTTCAAACTCTGTGGAGGTCTTACTTCCCTAAAATGTATTGATCGTAATTTGGCATGTGTTAGAATTCAATAATAAACTATAACAAAAGATGATTGTACAGTATCATTTGAGATTTGTTTGATTTAAAACAAGAGAAGCATTCTTGCTGCTTCTTATACTTAAAGCCTAATATGGCACTCACACACCTTCTATTCTCGATTTAGATCTTAAAGTATGGCAAACTGAAGATATCTCCACAAATCTTCTCTTTTAGAGGGTCTGTGCTACTGAAAACATTACTATATGAGAAGAATTTTTTGATTTTCAAAGAGATTTCAATGTTCATCTGATATATATGAATATATATAAAATCCTTGTCTTCTTATCATTATCTTTCCGGCCTTTTGTTAGTGCCTCTTTTTCTCCTTTGATATGTGTGTTAACTTTCCCAAGGCTGTCTTTGATATGTGGGTTTTGACTTGATTTTACCTAGAAATAAATTAAGGTCGGGAAAAGTAGAGAGAATTCCCAGTGTGAATGCCCCAGGCATGACCTGTGGCCTATTGATATGTAACATATAATTAATCATCCCATATTTGTGCAGCTTAATCTTCTGATAACATTTCATTTTATCATCTTTGAATATTTCTTTAATCTCTCCGGGTTTCTATTTGTTTCTCCAATGTATTTCTCCTTTTGTTTTCTCTTGTAAATGTGCTTATTTGACAAGTGAATTTCAATGTTTACCTGGCCTTGATCAGGTTGAGGAGGCCTCATATCCTCACCAAAAGCACGTGCAGAATTATGCTGACGTTGATGCTGTGATGAAATCCTCTGTTCTCTGCCACATTAAAAAAAAAAAAAACAAACACAGTGCAGTTAGAATAGGGTTTTGTTTAACTAGTCTTTTTTTGTTTAACTAGTTTTAAATCACTTTTTTATAAACTTTTTACAATATAAAATGAGTGCTTCCATTTTAAGCTACGCCTAAGAGAAAGCAATATTTGCTATCATTTATTGAATGTTTTCCATGTTAAAGATACGTTAATTAACACTATCTGATTTATCAATATTTTGTTATAAAAAGTTCAAGCAATGCTGGAAGAATTTTATACTGGATGTTCCTATATCTCTTACAATGATTCCACCACTAACATTTTACTATACGTATTTTAACATGTACGTGTTCATACATCCATCCCACTATCCATTGTTACTTATTTTTGATGCAGTTGAAAGTAAGTTGAATACATATTGATATTCACAAAATTACATTAACCTATGTAAATAGTTATAAAAATCTTTCAAAATAGTTATTTTAACTGTACTTTGCAGGTGTGAAACCTCAGGCTGAGAAAGTTTAAGGAAATTTCCACAGTTCGCAGAGTAATCTATGGACCAGGGATTTGAACTTTATTCTGTTTGGTTTGATGGCCCTTACTTTTTGCACTATGCAAAGAATTTCCCAGAATATATTCAGACTCTGCATTAGTCAGATTTGTGTTGCTGTGAATAACCCTAATAGGATTCATCCTTAATCTCTTCCTCAGTAATCCTAAAGGAGGAGAGGCTTACATCATTAGCTTATGGTTTCAAAGGTTTCTCCATTTTAGAGTTAGCTGGCTCCATTGCTTTTAAGTCTGTGGTGAGGCAGAAAAAGCACGATGGTAGGGAACGGTGAAAGAAAGCTGAGGACCTCATGGCAGTCTGGAAAGAGAAATGGAGGGGAGGGAGGGAAGGAAAGAGAGAGAGGGAGAGAGAGAGGGAGAGAGAGAGGGAGAGAGAGAGAGAGAGAGAGAGCACTGGGGATGAGGTACAACTTTCTCGGTTATGCCTTCAGCGACCTACTTCTGCCAGCTAGGCCCCACTTTCTAAAAATCCATTCCTTCAGCAATGAATTCATCAATGCAATAATCCACTGATGACGTTATGCCTCCATGATCCAATCACCTTCCGAAAGCCCTACCTCTGAACACGAGTCCTGTGAATATTATTCCTATTACTATTCTTATTTATAATCAAGTTTTTATTTATTTTCTTTTGCTTCTATCTGCAATTTTCCATTAATTATTTCCTTTGAATATCACAACTATTAGGAGGTAGACTTTGTATTGCTCCTCTCTCTTTATAGAAGAGGAAGAAGAGGCTGATTGAACTGTTCAGTGTCATAGTAAGTCAGTAGAACAGTGAGGATTGTAATACAAATCCAGTATTCTAGAAAATCTTATGGTTGAGAGCTTCAAAGAATATTTAAAATCGACACGTTTACAGGTATGGTTTCTAGTTATTATGATTCTTCAACATCTCAGTGGGTTTTCAAGCTATATAAAGTGCCGATACTAAATTCTTCACACTAATTTGAGTTTATAAAATTAATACTGGTGAACATTGATTTTATCATATAAATACATATATATCACATGGTACTGCTTTAAAGATTATGGAATAATGATAAAAACAAGATGAAGATTTTATTTTATTTATTTATTTTTTTTGGTTTTGGTTTTGCTCCGGTACCGGGAACCGAAATCACGACCTTGTGCTTGCCAGGCAGGCGCTTTTGCCGCTGAGCTAAATCCCCAGCCCCAAGATGAAGATTTTAAAATGACCAAAGGTTAGAGTTTATCTCAATTCTCCCAGAGACAATTATCTAAAGCTATTCAAATTGTTGAATTTATTAAAAGTTGCAAGCCTATTCCTAGGAGAATGAGGCTCACAGTATCTGTACTTTCAATTTTAAAGTAATATTTCAAAGTATCTTCATAATACATGGAACGTAACATCATTTTTCATTGGGGAATGGTATTTTAAAGTAGATGCTAATTTCAATTAACTGATATAAAACTGAGATTTTTCTGTACACACTCTTTTATCTCTATCACTCAGAGATAGTAAAAATTATAATGCTATAGTTTGTTTTTAAACAAAGAAATAAAGAGACTGAAACAGACACTGTAACTTCCAATGCACCTTTTTGTCTAACTGGATTCTATTAGCACAGCGTAAAGTTTAAACCTACTGTCCAGACTTATCTCTGTAAACTTGGCCAAGTTATTTGATCTACTTATGCCTCAGTAAACTCATCAGTAGTACTTTAGAGCATTCTTGAGAGGGTTAAATGAATTGATTGGCGTGAAACATTTATAATTCAGCCTGCCATACATAATAACCCCTCAGTAAATGACTACTGCTCTCAGTAACATTTTCACCATCTCAGTAAGGTGAGTGGTGTAATTATAAACATCTCTATTTCATAGATAAAGAGATTAAAGCCTAGAGGCAAAGAAACACACCCAATACAGTCAATTACAGTTAATTCTATTGGGTTCTTCTTCCCATTTCTCTGACATCATCACTGCGACTAGGGAGTAGATAGAAGGTACTGACACAGCAGCCTCCCTCCAGTCTCCACACTATTAGGACAGTATGTACAGTGCACACAAATACTGCCTTAGTGGAAAGAAAGCATTGAAATAGGGTAATTATTTTGTGAATTACATGCGCTTTTTATATGAGGAAGGGGCTTTCCAGTGTTTGTTCTCTCCAAATCCTGAACAAAATATTTCTGGCTTGGTAGTACTATTCTACTCTTTATTAAAATTTAATTAAAATGTTGATTACTAGGAAAAAGAACACACCAGTTGGGTCCATGACAAATGCCATTTCTTGATTCATTTGCTAATCTCACAAGATGGCCCATTAATTCTCAATGGTATTTAGAAATTTCTTACCGGTGGTTATCTATATTCTTCTTTGACTTCTTTTTACAGTAGTGGATAGTCTGGATTGTTACACCAACTATTAAAGCCAGTCCTACTCCAGGCAATGTTGCTACTAAAATCAGGTCCAGAGTATTCCAGAGTTGGTCACATTTGGCCCCCATGTACCAGTAGGTTCCCCACCGGCCTCTAAAATATGGACATCTAGATAGAGATAATAGAAAAACAAAGAGCTCACAAATTAGGAAAAAATAAATGGTCTCATCTGAGTTAGTCAAACATTTCATTGTTACTCAAATGTGATGTTTCTATTTAGGTCCTGTAGATTTCTATTGTACTCTTTTCACTTCAGCAAATATTCTAAACCTACAACCTTGAATATGTTCAACTAGCATGCAGAAAGCTATCAGGGTTTTCCAACCATTAGCAAACAAAGATGTGCACTTACTAATGAAAATAAAATCTCACCCACAATTGCTGTCTCAAGATTATTTTCAAAATAATCTTTATTATCCATTTTGCCCACTGCTCATCCTTGTATTCCTGCTGGCTACTCTGGTTACATCAATGCTATGAGGAGAGTTTGAAGGAGATAGGCTATCAATTTTATAATTGCAAACTGTGCACCCCTCCCTCCATCCCCTACAGAGATGAGTATCCTAACAAACTGACTCTGCTGCTCTACAGTAAACGCAAAAAGAAACATGAGGTGAGAATAGATTGTCTAACAGCAAAATATGTCTACCTCTATCTTTCCCATGACCCCTGATTTTCCTTATTTTATAAAAATAAATGACCCATATATAAACTTCTGTTATTTTTTTATAAAGATTTGGGACTCTACCAAATAATATGAATAAGATTGTGCGGTGTGTCTATGGCCATACCACCTTGAATGTGCCCAATCTCATCTGATTGTGTGGTGCATAGACCAAAAACTATGATATACACTCACATAGAAATGTCTATTGGTTTGGGAATAGGAAGCATGTGACTTCCCTTTATCCTCCATGGGAATAACTAGTGGAGAGATTTGCTTTAGAGACTGCCTTATTGCATCCTGCAGAACTGATAGAGGATTATCCAGTTGAACAGTAAATATAAGAACCTAAGTGAACTAACTATGCCTGGTTTGTGTTGTTACTACTCTCATGGTTCACATGCAGAAACTGATTAGATGACAACTGTGGTCTTCCATAGCCCTGATGGTCTAGGATTCTTTAAGAAAATACATCCACAGCTTATAAGTATTATTCTATTTAAAAGAATGAAGATTTCACTATGCACAGTTACTCATTTAAAGAGGTAAAAATATTTTTAAAATACATCTTATCAATCCTCACGGATTTCTTCCTGGAAATAGACTTTGACAACTTATTTATTATTTTGCCTAGAAATGAATCACAAAGGAATCATTTGTTATACCATAACACATCATTCATTCATTGACTACTATGTGCTAGATACTGTTCCAAGAAATTGAGATATACTAGAGAATAAAGCAGAGATACATGTCCTCAATTAATTTACAATGCAACAGAGGAAGGCAGACAACAAAAATAAGCATAATTAGTAAATTATCTATAATGTTTAAATTTGAGAAGTACTATTAAAGAAAAATAGCATAGGATAAGGGGACTTCACAGTATGAGAAACACAGATGTGGTTCAGGGAATAGTGATATAACTGAACATTAAAGGGGAAATGTGACTGAGAAGGCAACATGAACAAAGAATGAAACAGGTGAGAGTTAAGTACAGGATATTTTGGAAGAACAGCATTCTAAGCAGAGGGAACAGCAAGCACAAAGGACGTGAAGCAGAAAGCGCTGTGCTTGTATGTCTGAGAAATTAGAGAAAATCAGTTTAGCTGGAGCATAGTACATTAGGTGAGTATGGTGGAACATAAAGCCAAAGAGGTAGGACAACTCTTATAAGCCATTGTATGCACTTTGGTTTAATAGTGAACGAAATGAAGAACAAATACACGGGTTTGAGAAGAGTGGCAACATGAATGATCTTGTTGCTCTAAAAATACCACTTTTCCTGCTTTCATCCATTTTATATTATTGGTATATAATTTGAGTTCAATTTCACTATGCATATAGATATCTAGTTTTTTCAATCCCATTTATTGAAGACAACCCTCCCATGTGCTCTTGGCACCTTTAGTGGAAGTAAACTGACAAAAATTATACAGATTTACTTTGGGGCTCTCCATTTTGTTCCACTGACCTAGATTTTTTTCTTTCTGTCAGTACCAAGCTGTTTTGATTGCTATATTTTTATAGTATATTTTGAAATCAGGTAGTGCAATATTTTCAGTTTTGTTCTTTCTGTTCATTTCTTTGGTTATTTGAAGTCCTTTGGGGTTCTGTATGATTTTTAGGACTATTTTCTATTTCTATGAAAAGTGCCATAGAAATTTTGTATTGAAATAAAGTGTAGTGAAAAAAGGTAGAAGTAGAGAGATCAGTCACAAAGCTATTAAGTAATCTAGGCAAATGGTAATGGTATTTTGAATCAGAAGGTAGCAGTGAGGGTAAGGATGATAAACGGTTATTTCTGGTTATGTTTTAAAGGCAGAACCAACAGGAATTTTTGATGAACAGCAAGTGGATGTGCAAGAAGAAAAGGACTGAAAGATGACTTCAAATGTTTTCTATCTTGTGCAAATTGAAGAATGGAATCATAGGAAAGACTGTAAGAACAAGTCTGGGGTGGTGGTCATGGGAGCTGAAGTTTTTTATTTGCTGATGCTGAACTAGATATTTGATATCCAAGTGAAGATGGTGAACAGGAAATTACAGCTCTGTGTTTGGAAATGTGAATTTTCTCAGCTAGGATGATATGTAATGTCGTAAGACAGGAAAGGAGCATAGATAAAGAAGACAGAAAAATAAGCCCTGTTATACTCCATTAAGTAGTTGAGGAGAAGAGAAGAAACTAACAAATGAAACTGAGAAGTACACAGTGAAGTAGAAGGAAAAAAAAAAAACAGCACAGGGGATGTTCTGAAAGTCAAGTAAAACATCAGTGGAGAGTGACTAGCTGTGTTAAATGCTGCTGCTGAGTTCAATAAAACGAGGTCTGAGATTGAGCTTACCAGCACGGAACCTAGGGAGAAGAAATAAACTGATTTTTAAGAGCACATTCTGAACAAATTCTTGGAATTTTAAATATTTTTTATATTTCTCATAGTAGTTATGGGAAGTTTGTAAAATTATTTGTTCTCAATCAGTATAAGTCCTCAATATAAAAACACATGTATTTATTTTAAAATTGATAAAATATGTACTTATTATGTACAAAATGTTTTCAGGTATATATATACACTGTGGAATGGATAAATCTAGGTTATTAACATATTCATGTCCTCTCAAAAGTATTTCTGTGATAAGAGCACTTAACATCTATGCTCAGTAGTTTTTAAGAATGTAAAATATAATTATTAGCTACATTCATCCTGTCATGCAATAGATCTCTTGAACTTAATCCTACTATCTAATTGTAATTTTGTATTCTTTGACCCACAACTCCTCAAGTAGTCCACATCTTTTATTCTTACTTACCAGAAGGTATAAAAAATGTGAACATTGCCAGAAGGTTATATCAACTTTTGCAATTAAAAGCACATATCAGTCATGTGTTTTTACTTTGGCCCATTTTATTAAATTGTACACCTTTAAATATATTTTCAATTTGGCTTTTGTTTATTCTTCATTTGAAACATCTATGTATGCATGTGGAACATGCATGTGTGTTTGTGTGTGTGATCTCTATGTAGCATGACATATGTGGATATTTAGGCAATTTCAGAAATGCTATTAAAATGTTTTAAGAATCTATAAATAACAATTTAGTTCAATACATTTAACCCGTAGTTATTAGTGCCCAACTGATTAATAATGTTCAAACAACTGGCACATACTGCATAATAGGCATATTTAGTAATAAAATGATTATTATTTAGTAATAAAATGATTTCACCATGCAGACTGTATGGAATCAGCTGGACATGACTATAATCCTCTTGAGTAGTAAATGCCATGATTGCACAAGGGTAATCTTAATTTTTCTTTCATAGTTTCTCAAAAACCATAAATAGAAAAAAACCATTAGAGTGGTATGAGGAATTTTACTACTGGACCGTGGCTCTAGGAAGGTACTGACTCTTGGATATTAGCTTAAGATGATACAAGTACTTTCCAACTAGGGCATAGTCACTTTTTTGCTAATCCATATATAAATCGCTTCCTTCAGACCAAAATTGCAGGAATGCAACTAGTCTTGCTGCTGACCAGGGCCATGATTCTGTCAGTACGTTCCCCAATAAAATGCAGTCTGTGCAATCCTAGATCTGTCTGTTTCTCTGGCTTCACTCTCATGGCACATTGGGCCAGTTCTCATAACCAGGTCTCAGGACCTGGTTATTCCATATCTGGTGACCTAGTGAGACTTAGGACCTGGGCAGGGGAAAGTAAGCATCTGCAGGAGAAATCTTAAATTGGCCACATAATATTTGTGGGAAACAGTGTCTGTTATGTTAAGTGCTTGTACCCTACTTCCTGAGTACAGGTATGCCCCAAAATTTCCAGGTTTGGAGCGTTTGTTTTTCTCAATGCCACTTATCCCACTGTGCTAAGGAAGGGTATGGTATCTTCTACTGCAGTGGGGTGGCTATTGCTAAGAGTAGTTCTTTCTATCATTTATGCTCAGTTGGCTATAGATGACAAGATAATGTGTTGGTTTGGGGCTTACTTTGCAAGGGGAACAACATAATACAGGGCACATACTTTATATGATTATTTATAAGTCACCCAAGAACAGTATACAAAAGAGTGCAGGGAAGCTGTCCACACACTAAGACCAAGGAATCCAGCTGAGGGCCTGGATCCCACAACAATGTCCTACATGAGCTGAGCTGAATACCCAGAGCTCATAACAATGCCTCTCATGAATCCAACTGGAGGCCCAGAGCCCATGACAACGTCTCATGCAGACCTGTTTCACGGATCTCCTGGGAAGGTCCAAAGGTCAGTGGTGGAATCTACAAAGTCTGTGCCAGCAGGATGAAGGATCTGTGCTAGCAGGCTGAGAGATCAGCACTGGAGCCAGGAAGTGAGGCTCAGAAGAACCAGAGCTTCCCCAAAAGGTACCACAGACATCCTCGACAACAGTGAGGTCCCGAGCTCCTCCGATGAT